ATTGATGAATTTTTCCTCTAGAGTTATAGACTATTTGTATTTATTGCTTCTCATTTCTGGTTTTAAAAAAAGTAACAAAACAACAACATATTTTTCTTTTATCTCTAAAGAACTATCCTTTCTTCGTCCTCATAAATACTTCATAGGATCTCCCCATACCTGTCAGCACAAGCCTGGCCACCACTGTGCACACTCCTCTGACTTCTATCGTTGTCTCTTAAGTGTGGACATGTGGAGCAGGGAAAGCCAAGTAAGATTTAGCCTCAGAATTTTCACTGGAAATTAAAAGACAACGCACTTTCTCTTTGGGGTTTTCTAGCTCAGACAAGAGAAGGCTGGAGGGCAGAACGCCATCTTAGGGATAGCATTTGTCAGGATGAAACGTAAGAGGAAAAAAATTCAAGTAATATTGTTACAGTGAAGCCAGAAATGTGGGTTTATGAAATTCACAGATGAAAAGTAGCCCCTACAATAGGATCATAAATGGGTGGTGGTACCTAGTCATGTTTTGTTAGCAGAGTTCATAAGGACATTTTACTACTTATTAGATAATTTTATGAATATTAATATTTTGCCACCATGGATATGCCTGTCGCATGGAAATCAAACCTGGGTCTTCTACAAAAGCTGCAAGCCCTCTTCACCACTGATCCATCTCTCAGGTCCCATAAGGACACTTTAGGTCACAGGTGCCCAATGCAAAGAAGTGCTGCTGCCTCCTGAAAACTATCTTCTTATAGCATGAACGACAAACAAGAGTCAAGTTTCAAGGCCTTTAAAATCCTCTCTGTCTTTTAGAAAGGTGAATGATGCAAGCACAATACTTCAGCTTCATCGATAAAGACAGGTAATGGTGGGTGATTTTTTCTGAACTTGTTTTACAACACTTTTGAGATGCAAAGGAGACTCTGAAAGAGAGGATCCATTTTCTATTCATCAGTCAGGGCTAAACAATGAAAACATCTTCTCCATTCTTGTCTTCTCCCTTTTGAAAGCAACACTGTGAACTTACTCTTGCAGTCATTTCTGAGACGAGTTCTACGCACAAATTAACCTGAAATGGTCTGAAGATAACATGCTGGACCTCTGGGGCCTCTGTGACACACTGTTCTCAATACCGTTCTGGTTATTTTATCACCAGGGAATGTTCCATTTTATTTTACTTACTTAAATACATATTAGATCCTTCTATAGATTTCCTATCTAGTGGTCCTCATGCAGGCAAAACTCCCATTAGCTTTAATAAAAGTTTAAATGTAAAATATTGTTAGAAGGCAACTGATATTTTATTCATACTGCTGATGGTTATTTAAATGTTTTAATTATTCCACTGGCTCCCTACAGCAGAGAAAGGGATAAAAATTAATTTGCTCTTCAAAATATGATATTATTCACATATTAAATGTGGCCAGTAAGCAGTAAAGAATAAACTCCCCACCGGATTTTTCCCTAAAACTCAGAAACCCCATAAATGACTAAGTTTACATATGAAAGCCATCTCGTGAAAGAATAGTACTGAAGATTAGAGTGAAGGAAAAGTTGTTTGAATATAGTTGATTTTGTTGTGCTTATTATAACTTATAAGACTTTTCCACAGCAGGAAATAAAAATGATTAACCTAGCCCCAAATCACTATCTGTGAACCACAGTTGATTTTATAATTTATCTTTATTCCCTAGGTTATTTTTGCAGCTTTAGTTATTGATGTTTTTTCAGCTGAGCAGATTTGTGGGAGTTGTGCTTATGGCTTAAATATCCAATCTAAATTTGATTCAATGATGACAATGAACGGATGACTCATTTCTCATGGGAATCATGGAACTTTGAATACTGTGTCAGTCACAACAGGGCATTGAATATCTGCCCCCAAATAATAAATATTTGTTGCAAGAGACAGTGTCATCTCGTTTCGTGACACAGCAATCATCATTCCTAGCTGCCATAAGAAATTCATGGTCAATAATTGATCGGTATGACAGAAAAATCTGCTGTTGGCAAAGCATATTCAACATGATCTTGTCCAGTAGTCCTCATCTCAGATGTTCTCCATCTGCTTCTCAAATCTAATGCACACTGCAAAGCAGGGATACTTCACTCTGCAACTGACTGCCTTTATTTATTTTAGTTCTACTTTCTCCAAAAAGAGCAAATGGAAGCTTCCTTGTCGTGTTCGATACTAAACACAGAGTTATTATGGCATCATAAGATTGCTTCACTGTAAACTGTTTCCAAACCCATCCTAACAAGGACTGTGTCCTGGCACACTACATCTTCAGTGTGGATGGTTTCATCTTACACAGAGGAAGTGAACAAAGAAATACTCATAACACAAGAAGGAGATCAACGGCCCTATGAGAAATGCTCATGGTCTTCTTTCTACTTCTATCATCTAGAGATGTATCAAGGAAGGTACCGCTGCAAAAGATGCTTCCTAGGGATCAGCTGAATGTTTCCTGCAGAGAAAATACCGATGAGTAAGTGCTATGTAGACCAAACCTCTTTCTTCCTTTAATAAAAGATTATGGGATACAAGCATAATGTTTTTGTGCACTGTGTAAAGTTTTCCTTGCATTATTAAAATGCTGATTTTTCTGTCCTCCTATCTTGTTACAATCTGGACATGGCATTGACATGCTTATGTCTAGAAGCTCCTGTGTCAGGGTTGTGCAAACAATTCTTACCATTTATTCTCTACCTTGTCAATAAATGCTAATCACCCAATGACTGGGCAAAAAAAGAAAGAGAATGGAGCAGAAACTTCCAGGGAAACCAGCCAGGGAAAGAATAGAGAAAAGGAGGGAGTTTCGGGTCTACCATGAAGAGGAGAGGGTTTGAAAAGACACCATGGGAAGAAACATCTAAATCAGAGAGAATTAAAACAATATTAAATTGCAAGTATCATGGGGCTGGGGTTGGGAGGTAGCCAGATTAGCATCCCAGGTAGCAGGGATTAAAGTAGATCATCTAGAGACCCAGATATTGAGATAAGGCTTGAAATAAATCTCAGTTTCTCTGTGTGGTTATTGGGGACTAGCAAAGGTAAAAAAAAAAAAAAATACAGCCATCAGATTAATTCACTGATTACATTCATATCAAAACAATTCATTTTAAAATGAGGTTCATGTATGACTAAAGAGAACATCCCGGTGACATCATTGCAAGGTGAGAGGTGCATCCTAAGCTAGCTAAGTTGAGAAACAGAAAACATCAGATCTCTGCCACAGAGTAAGTAAAATGCAATGATTCTGAAACCAAGTTGATGGTCATGATCACAGCCCATAGCCAAAGTCAGCGAGGGAGTCTGAGTTGAGGTCAAATGCTTTAATAGATAAGGATGTAATACAAGCCCAGGCAGTGAGTACTGGTTTGACAGCTAGCCCTGGGTCCTCCACTACTCCTAACACTCGCCTTCAACAACTCAGCTTACCTCTGAATTCTCATCTACAAACGAGGTCACATCCCTTGTTTTTCTAGCATGCTCTGATCCTCCTGCCTCTGCCTCCTTCAGCAAATCCTACCAGCGTGCTCTGAAACAATAATCGGAATTAGATTTATTCTTGTGTCTTGCTAAAGGAAATAAAAAATCCATTGTCCAATATAGTACTCTCATTTGAGTTTTTATATTTATTCAATTTAAATTAAAATTGAAGGTAAAATTAAATAAAAATGCACATGCCCCTCAGTCACATGACCCATATATCTAACGTTTAACATCCACATGTAGCTGTCAGTATATTTGGTGGGACAGATTATGGGGCATTTATATTATTGTAGAGAATGCTTACTAGAATGATGACTATTTTCTACTCTCCACAGCATGGAACTGTTCTATAAATGCTTATGAGATGAATAAGTGAAGGAAAAGGAAATAAAGAACAACTTTCACTTAATGCAAATACCATAGTAGAAAAAAACTGAAAAATTTTGATGGTTATCTAAAAATTCTATCCTTGATAACAGTATGACTGTTATGACTGACTATGAGTAACTTCTGTAAAACTAGCAACACAAAAACATAAAGACAACTGCCTGCAATGGTATTTTAACTCACCAACTTGAAGAAGCAGCAGTACCAAGTTATTTGATCAGCACTAGTCTAGGTACATCTGTTGTGAAGGAATTCTGCATGTGTATCTAACATCTACCACATAATCAGGATCATTCAGTCATTTGAAAGGTCTTAAGAACATAGACTGAGGTTTGTCACAGGAGAGATTCGCCACAAAATGCAGTATAAAAACTTTGCTTAAATTCCCAGCCTGCTGACCTGCCCTGCAAATTTCACATTTTCCATGGTTCGAAATTCTATAAACCAAAGAGTTAAATATAACTAACATATGCATATTTACATATATATTTACATATATGTATGCATGTATCCATCAATTCTGCTTTTTTTAAGAACCATTGTTGTACTTGTTTGTCACTAGGCAGGAAGTACTGTGAAATATACCTAACAATGCAGAAATTGAAATGGGAATCATTTGAGAGGATGGAAAAGTTCAAGAGCATGATACAGAAAGCATAAGTTTGGAGGTACTCTTGGTAAATGTGTGGCATGTGAATGTAATTCTAGTGAGAGGCCAGAAAGAATGAAAGGTAACAGAGAGAGCTCCTGTTGTCTCAGAGAATTACATAGGTAGGAAGCAGGACCACTGCTGGAAACAAGAACATAAAATGTACTGAGATAACAAGTAGGTACGTGGGAGAGACAAAGGATAATGGAAATGATATGATTATGATTTCAAAAATATTACTCTAAATAATTCTTGGTGACGTGTCACATGGAAATGACAATCATGTGATTAATAATTAGAAGAATTCTCCCCCACACCCCTGCAATAGACAAAGAGACACCTTGTTGCTGATGGTGTCTTATATTGCTCAGGGCCAGAGCAGAGGATAGTTATAATCATGACATCATGTGATTAAAAATGACAATTAAAAATGTGAATTAAAATGACAATCATGTGATTAAAAATTAGAGGAATTCTCCCCCACGCCCCTGCAATAGACAAAGAGACACCTTGTTGCGGATGGTGTCTTATATTTCTCAGGGCCAGAGCAGAGGATAGTTCTTTGTTCATCCTAGCTTTGTGCCTGGCTTGGTGGCCAATGCTGTCTCATGTCTAGAACTCATAAAAGATCAAATCAATTCAAATCAAATCCAGGTAGTGCAGCACTGGAAGAGGAAGACAGACAGAGACCTTGAGATTGCCATGACACCCACAGACTTGCTCTCCAGGGCAGGGCACAGGTGAGCCATAGACCCTGGCTGACTGTACCATGCGGCACTAACAGAGGATGTTGTCCAGTGTACGAGTATGTTGTGGTCAGATGGTAGAGAAAGAGAAATGGAACAGTTTAGCCATTATGAAGAGAGATGGAACTGGAGACTAGAGAGTGCAGAGGAGTAGCCTCTTATAAGAGGCCAGCCCTGCCACCTGGGGCCATAGTAAGGTCTCAACCTGAGCTACTGCTGAGAGCCATGTCTGAGTCCCTGGCTACACAACAGTATGAGTCAGCATTGATGTCCATGGCTCATATTATCACTAGAGAACATGAGGATGTCCCTGGTCTGGGCAGCTGCCAAGGACCACATGGATGTTCAGGGGCTGTGCATAAATGACCCTGCCCTTCACTGGCTACTCTGGAGAGCTGGCACTGCCTCTCACCTCTGGAGTCAGCACTTGGGGGGCCCTGCACCTCACCTAGGCAGCACAACGGAGCTGATCCTGTCAGCAGGAGTGGAGTGGCACAGGCACAGAGGTGACATCTCAACCTCCCCTCCCCACCTCCCACATACACCCCTTGCCACCTCCAGCAGTTCGGAAAGTTTCCTACAGGTTCATGAGCTCAGAAGAGCTATCCCTACCCCTCATCAGCTACAGCATTCACGGAAGCAGAGAAGGGCAAGAGCTGGGGTGAACTTGCCCCCTCATTCATCTACAGTGAGGTGACATGGGTGCAGGGGTAATGCCTTGTCCCCCTTGATCCTTACTACCTGCAGCATCCAAGAGAGCTGCCCCCAGTGTCATGAGAGCAAGTGAGCTGGCTCTGCTCCTTGCCTGATGAAGCACTCAGGAAAATGGGCCCTGCAACAGTAGAGATGGCCCTAGTGAAGGGGTTAGAGGTTAGCTTGCCCCAAGGGTGTCAGAGCAGGAGAGCTGTCCCAGCCCCTCACAGGCTAAAGCATTTGGGAGAATGGGCCCAGAACCTTGACTGGGCAGCACAGTGGCGCTGACTCTGGAGACATAGGTGTCCGTGAGTTTGCCTGGAGGACATGAGAGCAGGAGAGCTGACCCTGCCCCCTGCCAATGGGGGCATTGGTTGGCCTAGCTGGAACAGTGATGAAGAGCTCACCCTGGTGGTGCAGAAAAGGGAGAGCTGGTGGGCTGACCAGCCCAGCTACCACCCAGGCTCAGATCCAGAGCTCTGAATTGGCTCATCCCAAAACCTATACCATCTGAGAATGGTTGGGACACACAAAAAGGCCAGTCCTGCTGATCCAAAGCTGAAGGATCTCAATGACTTGGAACAACAACAGGACAGCCAGAATGTGCGAATAAGGACCCAGAACTGATGGTGTCACAGAAGCCAGAGATTCTTGAACCAGACCAATAACTCATTGCAATGAACTTTGCAAGTGAAGATGTGCGGACAGAGGAATATACTGTGGGACATACTAGCTTCCACGATGAGATCTTTTCTATGCTTTGTTTTGTTGTTGTTGTTGTTGTTGTTGTTGTTGTTGCTGCTGCTGCTGCTGCTGCTGCTGCTGCTGCTGCTGCTGCTGCTGCTGCTGCTGCTACTGCTGCTGCTGCTGCTGCGTATGGGTTTTATTTGAGGGGGCGGCTGCAAGGGTAAAGAGTGGGTATGAGCAGATGGGAAGATGAGTGGGATTGGGGTGCATGATATGAAACTCTTAAAGAATCAAGAGAAAGGATTTTAAAAGTGAATGAAAGAAATCAACCAAACTTTTGAATTGTATCCCACTGTCACACAGAAAATATAAAACGTTTGCAAAACTTACACAAGATCAATCAAGCCCAAAGCCCAGCATAAACGGGGTAGATCATCTCCAGACTCCATCTCTTCCTGAAGAGATATTGGGCCATGGATAGGGAGGGTGAGTCATCATGTTCATGAAAGTGTGGTCAATAGTAGGACTTCCCCACCCCAGTAGCTGGCCCCACACACAAGAATATATGGGCTGCACTAACTGACCTTACTGAGCTACTATCAATCAATCAATCAATCAATCAATCAATCAATAATTATGAGTTGAGATGAGGTGTGTGTAGAGGACATGGGAAGAGTTTGGGGAGAAAATGGGGAGACATAAGATCATATTTTAGTGTATACAACTGTGAAATCCTCAAAGATATAAGCTTTTTTAATGAACAAGGTAAAACTTGCAAATAAGTAACTGGTATAATGAAATGAGATTTTCAAGCATCGTTTAAAAAGTCCAGCTTGGTTTCTTCTTGCTACTTCTAGTAACATGGGAAGAAAACAAACTGATGAAGGGACTATTCATCAAAGAGAACTGAAGATTATTATATGATTGGTTATCAACTTGTATATATTGCAAAATGAGACTGTATTTCAAGATGGAACCCCAAACTTTTTAAATTTATTTATTTATTCACTTTACATCCCATTATCAGTCCCCCCCTCACCTCCCAGGACCCCTCACACAGATCCTCCCCTCCTCCCCTCTCCACTTCTCCTCTGAGTAGGGGAAGACACCCTGAGTACCATCCTCACATATTCCACAGTCACTGCAGGACTAGGCACATCCTCTTCCACTGACAACAGACGAGGTGGAACAGGATCCACAAGCAGGCAGCAGGTTCAGGAACAGCTCCCATGCCAGTTGTTGGAGGACAACATGAAGACCAAGCTACACTTCTGCCACATATGTGCAGGGAGCCTAAGCCTAGCCCATGCTCACTGTTTGGTTGACGGTTCAGTCTCTGAGACCCCCCTTACAGATCCAGGTTAGTTGACTCTGTTGGTCTTTCTGTGGAGTCCTTGTCTTCTTCACGTCTCTCAATTCTTGCCCCAACTCTTCTATAAGACTCCTGAGCTCTATCTAATGTTTGCCTGTGAGTCTCTACATCTGTTTCCATTGACTGCTGGGTAGAGCCTCTCGGAGGACAATTATGCTAGGCTCCTGTCTGCAGGTGTAACAAAAGTATCATTAATACCATCAGGGATTGGTTCTTGCCCATGGGATGGGTCTCAATTTAGACCAGGCATTGGTTGGTCATTTCCTCAGTCTCTGCTCTATCTTTATTCCTGCACATCTTGTAGGCAGGATACATTTTGGGCCAAAGATTTTGTGGGTTGAGTTGCTTTTCTTATCCCTCCAATGGAAGTCCTGTCTGGCTACAGGAGGTGGCTACTTCAGGATCTACATCACCCATTGCAGGAATCTTAGCTAAGGTTGTCCCTATAGACACCCTGAAGCTTCCCTTCCCTATCCTAGGTCTCTGACACACTCTAGAGATAGATATCCCCCCGCCCACCACAGATTTCTCTTCTCTCTTCCTTGCTCTCCCTACACCTAATTCCCCCTGCCCCATTTCCTTCTCTCTTCCTTCTCCCACCTAGTTCCCTCCCACCATGAACCTCCAATATCTGTTTTATTTCCCCTTCTGAGAAGGATTTGGCCATCCTCTCTTGAACTCCCCTTGTTATCTGGCTTCTTTCAGTCTGAGGATTATAGCATGTTTATCCTGTATTTTATGGCTAATATCCACTTTAGATGAGTACATACCATGCATGTCCTTTTGGGTCTGGATTACCTCACTCAGGATATTTTCTAGTTCCATTCATTTGCCTGCAAAATTCATGATGTCCTTGTTTTTCATAGCTGTGTAAATGAACCACATTTTCTTTATCCATTCTTCAGTTAAGGGACATCTAGGTTATTACCAGTTTCTGACTATTATAAATAAAGCTGTTACGAACATAGTTGAGCAAGTGACCTTGTGGGATGGTGGATCGTCTTTGGGTATATGCCCAGGAATGGTATAGCTTGGTGTTGAGGTAGAACTATACCCAATTTTCTGAGATATTGCCAAATTGATTTCAAGTGTTTGTACATGTTTTCACTCCCACCTGCAGTGTAGAAGGGAATACCAACCTTTTGCTGATGAATTTGGGCATATGATTTATGCCTCCAATCAATCATCTCAGAAAAAAAGTAGAAAATACAAGAGATTTATCCAGGGAAGATTTCTGATGAGCTTCTTGTATAATGGCATGGCTCCACTTGATCACCACAGACAACTGTGAAGGTTGTGAGGCACATACTGCCGAACACTGCAGCTTGAACAGGATGAAGTAAAGGGAGGTTTTGGTCTTAAAGAACTTTGTAGACAGACAAGAAGCTAACATAGCTCCTAAGCAGAGAAAGTGCATCACCTTTTAAGACATGAGAAAGAGGACTGTAACAGAATGACCACATAATATAAAGACAGAGTTGCCTCCCACCTTTGATGGCCACAGAGAGCATCAAGCCCTAGAGTAGTGTTCTCCACCCTTTGAAACTAATGCGACCTGTTTCCTCAGTGTGGAAGGTTGCCCGTCTTCTTCCCTTTTTCCCCTTTGGAAATAGGCAGTTTCTACCCTACGGCTACCCCATCACTGCACTTTAGAAGCAGATTTCTTTCTCTCCTGCACACATCAAGAGGAATTCACCTTGGCATGAACCAAAGTCCTACTCAAATCTGATTTAGATGATTTGAAGCATATTTGAGAGTATAGGGGTTAATTACATTTAATGATGTCTGGGATTTAAAGTTGATGCTGGAATAATTAAAACTTGAAAATGTCATGCTAGACTGATGTTATCTTCATATAGGAGGAGATGAAATTTTGGGCCCTTGACAGTTGGCTGTACTGGAATGAATTATGTCTGTCTAACACTGGTGTCCAGTTGGGTCTCTCTCTCTCTCTCTCTCTCTCTCTCTCTCTCTCTCTCTCTCTCTCTCTCTCTCT